CACTAATGACTGTGCCCCTTGTCTCAAGCCTCCCAATCAGAGCAGACTTCCTTATGCTGGGCCAAGGGAGGTGAAAGGATTCAGAGTGGGATGGATATTGCTTCTGCTCTGAAATGGAGCATTCTGCACCTCATGTTATTATGGCAACACTATATGCTTAAGCCAACTGCCATATCAAATATACTATTTCCTGTGCAGATCCTGATCCCACAGGGACATGGTATGGGAGTTGGCCTACTCTTAGCACTTCCAGTATGACTAGAGAGATATTCTGTGTGTATGGGGTAAGAAGCTCCTTCCTCACCTCCTGCAAATGTATGCATAGCTACAAAGATGCATGTGCGTGCGCACGCACACACACACACACACACACACACACACACACAAGTTAGTCATGGGTTAGTCATATGTGCTATTTAATTTTCCAGTTCAGCTTACTGAAAATAGTAAATGAAAAGCAAATGAAGCATTCTAACATATTCACCTTAAAAACATTTATACTGAAACTGTAGGGTTAAAAATGATTCTGCCTGGATGTACTATGAGCATGCAGCCAACACTAACATTGCTAATTTTAGAAAGTTCATTCTGTTCAAACTTGAAACAATTACACCCAACAAAATATTCTTCTTACTAGCGTCATATCTTTATCACACTATGGAGCTGGCACTGAAACTTTTTCACTGTTTGTTTGAATAGCATCAAGCTAGACCAACTTGACAGTTTACATCCTGATGGAGAGGCTAAACTTTAACATCAAGGATTATGTTGCTGATTAGCATTTCCAATAATCAAGTAATTGGTACATTAAATAATCCAGAGGCTGGCTACTTGCCCAAAAAGGTCACTCTTGCATTGATTTCTTTTTAAAGGCATCTATGTTACTAGTCCTTGGATGCTATCTGCTTGTCCAGAACTCTAGCATGGACGTATCTGGCTCATTTCCTTCAATTAATGCAATTTGATAGGAAACTAAATTCAGGAAAAGTTACACGTTATGTCACATATGTTCAGATTTCCCAATTATGGGAACCAGGGAGAGAGAACTATCAGGGTTGTTTATTCTAACAAGATAATGCGATTGTGAGACTAGTGTAATAATTCAGCTCCAAGGACCCAATCAAGAAAAGTGATGGGCCAAATACTGCCTATGTAGCTTATTCCTGCTCAGGGAGCTGAAAGATCCATCAATTTATGACTCTATATACACTTAATTTCTTTATTACCACATAGCAAGGGAGCAGGGCTTTATCACCACCTTTACCAGACCCAGGGACAGGGATGCTGAGCCAAAGACTTTATGGAGACCACCAAAGAAACTTTGTGGGGCTCAAAATGCCCTTTTGTTCACAGCCACAGACAGCAATCAGAACAAAGCTCAAGATGTGCTCCTTTTAAATCCAGTAGTGCTAGTTAATGTCCACTTGCAGTCATGGAGGCGGCTCTCTCAGGGCCTTTGGCAGTATGTCTTCTGTGGGAGCTGGGCTGCCATGATTACTCCCTTCCACTCTTTCTCCCAATCTCCACTGCCATCCTTTCAAAAGCAAGGGATTTACAGTGTGGGACAGAAGAACTGAGCTCAAGGTGATTACATCTACACTAACAAACTAAGTTACCATACATAAAATGGAAGAGAAAGTTTTGACAGTGCATAACAATGCTGAGATGTCTCCATGCCCATCCCCATGGTACACATGGAATATCACCTCCCTGAAATATTCACAGGAAGGGGGTTCTTGAAAGTTGGGTCAATGGGAAGGTGCCACAGAACTGACATCACTCCAGCTGGGATTGGCTGGTACCTTTTCACTCATTAACAAAGGGTGATTTGACATGAGGTCAAAAAACCCTCATCTGAAATCGACACTGGTATTGTGCGAGTTAGCTGCATATGCCTTAGAGAAATATTGACCCCCTCCCTCTCAGCATTTCACTGTAGTATAATATGGAGCAATGTTGTTATTCACACCATTTTCTTCTGTAGGGTATTTTGGAGTGAAAATTTCCCTCAGAATACATACAGATTCTGGCCTTGCATCTTTTTTTGAGGAAGTCAGGGGTAACCATTTCTGTGCTATTGCACAGACCCTATACATACTGCAAACTAAAAACCTACAAGTAACATAAGTTATAAATACAACCCTTAAATGGAGACAAACAAATACTACACTTGATCTGAGCCTTCAAGACACACACCTCTGTTAATAGGAAAATGATCATTCAGCCAGATAGTTAAACTGGTTGTTTTCAGTACTAAACTTGTCGATGTCTAGGGCAGTGGTCTCCAAAGTGGGGTGCGTGCACCCCAGGGGGTGGGCAAGACGATCCATTGGGGTGTGGGAAGAAAACATTAGAACTTCTATTTCTATTTCTATAAATATACATATATTGGGGGTGCGTGCTCAAAAATATTTTACTGATAGGGGTGCGCGATCAAAAAAGTTTGGAGACCACTGGTCTAGGGAACTGGTAGGGAGAGGCACAAGTTTTTCTTTTTAGGATGCAGTTTGGCTGAGCCCGGTTTGTCCAGCTTCAGTGGGGCATATCATTTGCACAGTTACATTTTTAGAATAGAGTCAATGAGGAAAATAATCATGAATGAAAATAGAGTTTCTCTGTGACCTTAGAGTGTTCCATTCTCAGAAGCGCTGAGCTCCCCCTAGGGATCCAGACATCAGAAAGCAATTGCACAACACAAGAAAGGAAATGCCCAGTAAGAGGAAGGCTGAATAAGAAGAATGAGTTGTCAGCTTATAGATGTTAAAGCACTTTGACATTAGTTACAAACAAGGCATGGACAGCAGGGAAGAAATAAATGGAATTCATGCAACAGCTATTATGGATGGCTCTGATATTAAAAAATAGGAATATAGTCAAATAGTGCATTTCCTACAGATCAAAGCACCACTGCTTGGAAGGCATACGTATGTATGTGAAACTTAGGTTGAACAACCTTTCAAGCTCTGAACATGGTGCAGTCATGCTGGCAGCAAAACTCTTAAGGCTGCTATAGCAAGATGGTGTGATAGATATGCTATGAGGGCCTAATTGTGATCCACTGGAAGATTCTTTTGGGCCACATTCTTGTCCACCTATTAGGCATATAAGTAGACTTGTTCCACTTTGTTCGAGTCCCTGAAAAACCACTGAGGAATCTACCTATGTAATACACCATCACTTTAGCCTTAAAACTAAGTCACAAAAAAGCAATGAAGAGGAAAAAGACCCACACACTTCTTGCATCAGCAGTCTTTCAAGGACTTAAGCCGGGTGGAATAGTATCCCATGTAGGTATCCACTTAGGTGTCTAATAGCTGGAATAAAATCTGGCCTAATGACTTTAATGATATTTTGGGCTGCTGAGTTATTATACATGTTAATTATTAGTGCAAGAAAGATACAGCTGTGCTTTGTTTTCATACTAAATCTTTTAAATGTGTCAGTGTGTGCCTGGAGCAAAGAACAGGGTCTCTATTTCATTATATAAGAATAGACATTCAAGTAAGTAAATAAATAGTGTGCATGGTCAATGGGAATGATAAACCTGGTACTGCAGCAATAACAGGAAAACTGTTTAAAAATCAATATGTGCCACGCTGCAGGATCTAAGATTGTGCAGTGATCTCCTGTTTTTAATACTGGGGAAAATAGCAGTATCTCAGATATCAGATATGTGGTATCTACTGCTCGTAGGTGTTGAGTTGTTAAAGGTAACATTTGTATTGAACGTCTGTGAGTGACTGTGGCATTACAAGGGACAGCACAGAATATGATTTACTGGAGGTTCTGGAATACTCAACGGATTGTAATAAAATTTGGCATGTCACCAAGCCACATCCGGCAAATCATCAGTATTTGATTTCTGAACAGATTCTTGTAACACCCACCCCTCTCCCTTTTTCTTACAAAAGCTCTCCAAGCTCATGAATCTAAGGAAATGCAATTACATTTGTTTCTTGCTCACAGGGTGAAGCAAGAATAGACATATATTAAACAAACAGTTTTATTATAATACTATTTTGTTGGGGGACTTCAATGGGGCTTTTATGCCTCTGGAGCATTGTTACCAGACCAAACCCAGCTGGTGGTATAACTATTTAGTATTTGCATTGCTATAGTACTCAGAGGCCCACACCAAGGATCATTATATTGTATGTGTGTGCACACGCACATGAATATGCATGTCTATACATGTGTGTTTACATGCATGTGCACGCACACATACACACACACACATTTTGGGGGTGGAAATTATAAAGTGATTTCTCAAAGTGAGAGAGATGGACTGAGGCAGGTACCTGAGGTAAGGGAGTGGCGTTCCACAATATAAAGTCCACCTTGATACAACCCTATTAACCTGAGGTAAGATGGTAAAATCCCTAATCACAGGTGGTATTTCAGGACAAAATGGAACAAAGTTCAAGAAAGAAGTCTTGCACAAAGCCCAAGCTCCTCTTATATGCAGCACTGCCTGCTTAAGGTAAGTATGTTGCTCTGAGTTCAGGGTCAGAGTAGTATGATTGCAGCAGGCCAAACCAGTGAACAACCACGCCTTGAACTAGCATCAAGTAGCAGGGTTGCCCTACTCTAAACACTCCTGAGAGGGAATTATGGTAATTAATTTGGATGGTCATGAGGTCATGAACTCCTGGTACTCAGGCAGGATCATTTTTATAAGTGAGTTGACTGCCCAGACCTAGAACTTATCCACTAGTTTGACATGCACAGCACAACAACATCACAGCCAGCACCATAACGGAATGTTCTGTAAACAAAATGTTAACGAAGCTGCTGATGGGTGACGAATTGACCGACACAGAGGTGATTCAAGACAAAGACAGCATTAAAAACATAAATAACAATATTTTTCTCTTTTTTTCCTTAATAAATCAGAATCTGTATCTTTGTTTACAAAGGCCACATCCACATGAGTTTGACTCATAACTCAAAATATTAATATTCATTCTATTCATACAGAAGGCAGCACTGTTTACACAAACCTTTACTTATTCTGATTTCGAATTCGGAGACACCTCCTTTTCAATGGTGGCTCCAGCTCCTCTGGCCCTGTGCTGAGTATTGGCGTTGAGATTATGCATGGTGCTATCGCAGTCTTTTCTGCTGGTTTTGGCACAGGCTGGATCACACAACCTGTCTTGGGTAGCATCCGCAAAGCATAGGCATGGTCCTCATCTGCAGGGTTGTTAAGGTTTGGGTCTTGCTTGTCTCCCCCAGGGAGAGGTTCTTCCCCAATCTTCTTGCCAGCCTCTCCCTCTAGGTGGCAATTGGATGCACAGTTGTTCTCTTTAACAGATTCCAACTCACTTACAGCTGACTCCTCTGGCGGTGGAGGCTTTTTCTGCTCTTGAGACTGTTCTGAGTTCTTAGAACCCTCTGTGCTCTTCGTGCCATTCACAATGACATTGCAAGCTGCGCCACTGGTTTCTAGTCCTGAAGTGCTGGAGGCCAGTGAGACAGGGCCACAGTGAGCTGGGTCACTGCATGGTAATGTTTTTGTTTCAACTGGGCTGCAATTGTCCCTGCAGTCGCTGCAGTTCCTTTTATCTGAGTTACCAAAAGCCAAATTTACAACACTGTTAGGTTCACGTTCAACTTTAACTTGAGCATGTAAAGCCCTGTGAATAACATTGTGTAGCCTAGACCTGTGGCCCACAGTTAGGTCTATCACACCATCCTGTGGACCCTGTAGCACACTGGAAAAACTAAATTTACTGTTCACTGGACTACTAGCTCTGATAGTCAAATCAACAACTTCATTTTTATTATGCTCCTGGAGCAGTTGAGCTTGATTTAAGGACTGGCCTGAGCAGCTTGGTGATGAGTCAGAGGATTTAGAGGGCCCTTGCTTTGAATCTCGAGGGGACGTAGAGTTATTTGATGGCTTTGCTCCAGGCGTATCGCTGGAGGTACTTGGAATGAAGTTTTCACCATTGCTGGAGAAGCCATTGGGGGGCTTGGAATCATTGATGTGAGGGATGGGAATGGGAATAGGGATGGGTACAGGTAGCGGAACAATGACAGGATATGGCACTAGCAGGGTTGGGGGCGGCACCAGAGGGGCAAGGGATGGCAACCCAAAGTTCATCATCTGTGGCAAAGGCATAGGACCATTTGGCATCATGCTGACAGGGGGAAAGGGAAGACTAGGCAAAGGAGCCCCTGGTGGGGGAGGGGGTAGTAAGCCTGGAGGATTTCCAGGAATGGTAGGTGTTGTTGGGGGATGAATATGAGGAGATAGCATTGGCCTGTGCATGGGGCTAGAGGTGGGACCCATATTTCTGGGACCACCTGGTGGTGGACCAATTCCAGGAATCATTGGATTGGACAAGGGGCTATTAGGATTTGAAGCATGATGAGGTGGCCCTCGAATAAATGGTGGACGGATTTGCTGCATAATTTGCTGTTCCATGAATATGGGCAGAGGAACTGGCCCGCGGTTTGTCATCACCATGGGAGGACTTCGAGGTGGGACACCAATTGGAGGCACAATGCTAGCAGGTGGCTGAACAGAAACGGGTGGAATATTTGGATTCTCATTGATGGAAATAGATTTAGGAACTGGCGTGGGGATTTTAGTGACAGAGCAGTTGGCAGTGTCAGACGGAGAGGCAGTGGTAGACGCTGATGGTCCAGGACCTTGAATTTGGCCAGCTGCAGACACTGGGGATGGGGCCTTTCTCCGAGCATCTGCTAGCGGTATATTCCAAGAATCTGGAGTCAGCAGCTGCACCCCAGTGCCTTCTGCTTTATTTTCGACTGGAGGATGTAATGTGCTGCACAGTCCAGCTGGAAGATTGGCCTGTGTCTCTTTGTAGAAAATGTCCATTTTGTACTGATTGAGACATTTTGCACTGCAGAACTGAAGCCTTCGTTCCCCGTCCCCAAAATCCAGATACTCTTTTGTGTGTCTTATGTGCTTACACCAGTCACATACCTACAACACAGTAACAAAATCAAAACAGGTGAGAAAAAGTGATCTCCTCTTAATCATGTAATTCTAAAAGTCATTTTTCAGTGCTTTCTAAATATCTGAATTATTTTTCTCATAGGGAAAAAAATTAGCAGCATTTTGCAAAAGTTATGCCTTTTGGACACTAAAATATAAATGAGTGGAATCTCACAAGCTTTTCTGGCCCACACATTCTATCTTACACAATATGTCAAATATCACATATATTCATACTGAAAGGCAGATCCTCAGCTGTCAGAGTTCTGTTGACTTCTTAGATATCTCTAATATGACAACTCATACCAGCTCAGGATCTGTCCCTGAGGACAGAAAGTGTGCGTGTATGTGAGTATGTAAAATACCTGTGTGTTTGTCTAATATGTGCCTACAACGTAGATACTGAAGTACACACGCCCCCCTAATATTTTCTTTGACATGATGATACATAATAAACCGGATCAAGAAACAATGAGAAAAGGACCTCAGAAAATTCCATGGAAATGAATGCAAGCGGTCTGTGCTAAATTACAGCACACTGTAACATTATTAACTGTGTTAGATAATAAGTTGGAAAGGGTGCAGTGTTTTAAATGGTATCAAAAAGCCAAAGCACCATTCATCATTTGCTCTGTGTTCCAAGTAGAAATTTGGAAATAGTCATGAAATCTGTGTGAAGTTCAGATATTCCCAATTTGTGATGTTTCGACAAGCTGGAATTATTTTCTGAGCTGTTTGCCCACTCTCGTTCACTAGTCACTTTGTGTAAAACTTCTTGGCAGGCAATGTCTTATTTAGCAACTTTTCAGATACTACAGCAAAAAGTTAGTATTACAGATCCTTTTTTAAATTTTATTTTGCCCTTTTTTTGTTACAATTGGTGTGGTGAAGGCATAGCCAATTTTTTTTTAAATAAGGCTGCAGAACTAATTAAGCTGTGAAAGGTTTTCCCAGTTGTAAACCACTAGACACCAAAGTTCAAAAAATAGTCATTCTAGGCTTCATAATCCATTACTTCAGAGAAATTATTGTGATTTCATTAACACATTAATTTTGCAACACCAACAGCTCTCACAGATGGTGAAGACATGATCTACAATTCAAATATGACTCTTGTTTGCACAAATGCCTTTCCTTCATATGGCATTTTAAACAAGAATTAATATGAGTAATCTTGCCATAGCTATAAACAGATAAACAGATGTCAGATTTTTCAGTGCCTTACTTTTTTGACAGAATTTTACACACACACACAAAAACCCCCATTTTTGTCATTTATGTTAGTTCTCAAAATATTCTGTTGACAGAGATTTTTAGTGCTTTCTATAATCAGTATGTTGAGCCTAGGACCATGTCAGAATTTAGCTTTATATTATATGTGCTCCTACTTTTCCAAGCAGCCCCATATTATCTTGATGTGAGATGGCTATGCCTTTTTTAGAAAAAAAAAGACAAAGAATGTAATTGTGAAATGATAGCATTAAAAGGATAATTAATTTTAATAACTATTGGCCATATAAACAATTCAAAACAACATATGTCGGGCATTTGATTACTCATCTCATTTAACTCTCAGTTTTCCTTTAATACAAACAGTGGTGACATTTTAGAGTTTTCATTTATATAGCGTAAAGATATATACTTTTATCATTGTTACACTGTTTCTTTAACCAATGCAATCCCAGGGTTCTTGCTCCCTGTTCACCTTTGGATTATCTGTCTCTCTCTTTCCCCGGTTATATTCACCCACACATATCCCATTTTTAATTCATTCATGAACTTTACATCCTGTCTGGGAGACTTTTAAAAATCTCAAACTAAATGATTCTTTGAAAATGAAAACCAACCAAGTCAACCCCTGAAGTGTGGAAATTTATGGACCAGATTGTTAACTGGTGTAAACAGATGTAAAATGTAAGCCACTGCATTGATTCACACCAGCTAGAGAGCCTATGCATCCTGTATTAGTACATTTTTATATCTATTGCATTGAGCCAGACAATAGGAAACATTTCATTGCACGTTAGAAACGGCACACTCTGTTTGAAGCTGACAAATAAAAATTAAACTGCCTAGAAATGCAGAAAAGTAGGCTGGTAAACTCATGACAGGAGCATCAAGATAAAAGCCCTGAGCTGCAAAGGGGCTCCAAAACCTTTATAAAACTGTAATAGGATGGGAACTCATAGGGCTGAATCCTATTCCACTTTACATGCCCAAATGGCAGTTACCCAGCCACATAACTGGCAACTTTGGCATTTACACACAGTTTGTGACCCTGTTCCATCTATAGCGTAGAAGCATAAGTAATAGCCTGGCAGCCAGAGAAGGAGATAAGCAGAGACCAAGCTAGGGAGTGTGCGGCTCAGCAATATTTGGAAAGAAAGGAGCCCTGGGTTCTAGCCTGCACCCTTAATCCCAATGAAGTAACTTCCTCACTGCTCTTCATCTATTTTAGCCAATCAATATTAAATACCAGATGTGGTGGCTTAGCTTCAACAGGAGGGCTGGGGAAGGGACAGGTTAATGTCTCACCTGTGAAGAGGTGGTTAGACTGCTGTGCTAAGTTAGAAGGGCAGATTCAAACCTCCTCTGGGTGCAAGAAGCCTAGAATCTGCAGCTGCCTATGCTTGTGTTTGAGGCGGGGCATTTTAATTAGAGCAGTTCCCAAGCAGCTGCTCTAATTAAAACAACTTACCATCATGTGTATTAAACCCCTGTGCATTTAAAAATGGCCACAGGATGCTTTACCTAAACCTCATTCAATGAGGTTTAGTTAAAGCACCCCACAGTCATTTTACAATGCATGGGGGATTAATACACGTGATGCTGCAGCAACACTGCATCATTCTAATTAAAATTCAGAGTAGGCTCAATTACTTCAGTCTGCTCTGACATGTTCTAATTATGTATAGGCAGCGTGAGGATTTACATTCCTGGTATGGAGCAGCATACCAACAACAGCAGATCCTTCTGCATCTGCTCAGTAGCCACATGAATGCATATATGTCCAAAATGCACATTTAATAGGATCACAATCTGTGTGTAGTGCCCAGAATGGCAGCTATGTAACAAGGTAAATAAATGCTTAAGCAACTATTTGGATGTGTAAAGTGAAATAAGATTCTACCCATAGCAAATAGAGCAGAAGCAGGTGGATGGCTGCAAGAAGAGAGCTGAGGGCTGGACTTTTCATAGATCATCCTTTCTAGCCCTTCAGAGTTAGCACGCAACAATTCAGTAAGTGGGGGAGCACCCACTGAAAAGTGTACAGTGGGGCCAGATTAGTTGGGTACCACTACTTTAGTTAAACAGATTAAAAGAAAAATCTATTAAAAAACTCCTGGCCTCTTTTCTAATCATTTAATTGTATTGGTTATCAGTTCACGAATTCACTGCAATACTTCAGTGTTTTATTGCTCCATTCACTTGTAAATTTCAAATGGGACCCTGTGTCACCTGCAGATAAACAAATATTTTCTCCTCAGTAAAATATTTAGAAATCCCACTTTGAAATTCTCTTCTGATTTCTCATATTTTCAATAATTCATTGAGGCACAAGAAATTCTTGAGCCTGCCTGCCTCACTCCCTTTTTTGATCAAAGCCCATTCATTCAGTATATTTTATCACCAGATAAATTAAATTAAAGGCACAAAAGTTAAATGTAATAATTCTATTCCTGTGACTATCCTGGATGGATCAAATATCCAATAATAATCTCATTGATTTTGTGCAATATCTTAAAGTATGAAGGGTAAGGTCAGTGACCACTGGTTACGTTCAGAGAGAGAGAGAGAGAGAGAGAGAGAAAAAGAGTGTGTGTGTGTGTGTGTGTGTGTGACAGAGAGAGAGGGAGAGATCTACAGGTAATATTGCACCTTTGCATACTGTGTTAAAATGTAGAAAAACAGTCTTTCAAATGAGGGGGAAAATTACTGGAGGAGAAAAAAATGTCACTTAAGAATTAATGAATCAAGTCTGTCTTACAGGATTGATCATTTAAGATGAGGTCAATGAATTTATGATACAAATGGCTATATCACTACAGGTAATAAAATGGAGCAATATCATTCATTTTACATCTAACTAATGACATGCTCAGAGTAATTACAGATTTCTTCTAAGAGCCTATGCTGATTACTTAAGATGTGATAGGTGAAACATATATATCATTCAGTTCAATAAAATAACATTTTCCTATCTGTGAAACATACAACAAATGTAATTTTTTTTTAAAAAAAGACTTTCATTCTGGATACAGGCTGTATGTTGTTAGGTTTTGAGAGAGCGGTTGGTTTGTTGGTTGATTGATTTAGTGTTTTTTTTAACAAGCAGTGAGAAATCTTTTTGTCCATTTCTTCTGCTTTTTTTTACTGCATTACCTTTTCTTTTTACTGGGGGGGAGTTAAATTGCTGCAGAATGTTTTGTAATAGTTATGGCCAGCATTTGCTTCTGTAATGCTTATGCACAGGAGTAGCCCTCTTAGATTCAGAAGGATTATTCATGTGAGTTAGTGCTACATGATCAAGTTCTTAGGGTCTGATCCAATGTCTGCAGAATAGTGCAAAAGGCTCCTGCTTATGTTAATAGGCTTTGGATCAGACTCTTAGTCCACATTCTGCTTGCACTGAAATCAATGGGATTTTTGCCACAGACCTCAAGAGCATCAGAAGCAAGACCAGAATATTTTCTAAGGAGCTGCCTGGCCCTCTACATGATAGAAAAATCAGTACCTAAAATTAACAAAAGGAATTCAGAGGAAAATACTGAGATGATTATCCATGTAATAGATCAGGCTTCTCCCCTGCCCCTACTCCAAGCTACACAAAACAGCCTTTTCTAGTTGCATTTTCTGACTGCAAATTTCAAATGAAAAGGGATAGAGAAATTTGTGCTTAGCAAAGGATGTGTGATAAAAATTTGGGAAAAGAAGAGCCTCCTTTAGTAAGGCACTGAGTGCCCTCTAACTGCCTTCATCTTCCTTTG